ATATTTATATATTTATCTTGATTTTCATGCATATCTTAAACATCTTAAATAGAACTTTAAACTGCAGCTGAAAGCCGTAGATGAAACTGAAGCTGAAGCTGAAACTGAATGCTGTAGACTGAAGGCTGATGGCTGACGCAGAAGCTGCAATAGCTCGTAAATTGCTCACAACTTGTGCAAGGGACTATGTGCTCGGCATAATTGTGGCATGATTAATTCCAGAGTCGGGCAGAAGTTGTTCAGACGCAAAATAAATGCACAAAGTTACAAGCTTGTAGAAAAATTGTACGTATTTATGTATATTTTGTGGATTAAGCGATGCGAGTTGAGAGAGACAAGCAAGCAGTCAGCCAGTCAAGCAGGCTGGCAGTCAAGCAGGCTAGCAGTCAAGCAGGCTGGCTGGCAGGCAGTTAGTGTAAATGTTATGCATGGCATCAAGCGACAGACACAAAACGAGAATGTTTGCTGGTCATTTATCATGGGGACAACAACAATGCGATGGCCATGGACAAGAATAAGGAGAAGAAGTGAAATTGCGAAAGCAGAAGGAAGCGACAGCAACAATTTCGTCAGGAATTTAAGTGACAATTTTCATACAATTTCCATGGCAAAGGACACGGCACAACGCGGCGTATGAGCGATGATGACGATAATTTCGGCCGGCTAAGAGAAATCGATAAATGTCCAAGCATTTGACATGCGACAAAGACAACCAAAACGGGAAATACATCCGGTCATGGAACTGCCTGCCTTTTGTAGACGCTTTTTTATTGTTAATATTTTTCTTGTGTTCATTATTTTTCGGGGGGGAAATACCCTGTATTGTGAAAAAGAGAGAGAGGGTGAGAGAGAGGCAGATGATCAGACAACTTATTTTATATAGAAAACATATTTGATCACATAGATATTCTAACTAATGGGTATGTATTAATCGGAATAGATATAAAAGTCAATGAGAGTCTAGAAAAATGAGAAGAAAGCCAAGACTGCATAGATTGAGCATGCTGTGACATGTTTCTATGTGCTAACTATTTTATAGTCGTGATCTAAAACAAGAAATGAGAGCTATAATAAGAAGAATATTCGCTTTAACTAGGGGTATTTTATAGTCGTAATCTATAATAAGAAATGAGAGCCATAATAAAAAAAAATATTCGGTATAAACTGAGAAGCATGATCTAGACATATTCTAGTATCTAATGGGTATTTAGTTCGTATTTGTATCTAAATGTGCCCTCTAATGGGTATCAGTTAGTCGTGACATATATAAAATAGGTAAGCCATGCTGAAAACTCTGAGAGATCTATATGTCTAAAGCATACTCTAGCATATCAATATCAATATCTCTGTGCTAGCTAATGGGTATCTATTAGTCGTGACAGCTCTATCTCTGCTTTTCTGCTGACTATTGCAACGTCGAACAATGCAAAACCCAAAAATTATGCGTCGCAAATGCGACAAAGCCGAGGAAATGTGGAAAGGGAGGCGCCACTCCAGGCCAAGACGCAGACAGTCAGCAACGCTTCAAAGCGGCTTCCGGCTGGTTTGCACGAGCACACACCAACACACACACACACATATATATATACATATACATATACATATATAGAGCAGGCCGCCATTTATGTAAATTAAAAATTATTTCGACTGTAAAAATTCAGTGGGAATTGTTTTTGGCAAGCGTCGTCGCTGCTGTCTCTGCAGCCCATTTGCAACAAAAACACCAACACACACACAGCTGGCACATACACACGTACACACACAGCGCAACAAAAGCAACAAGGAGCGTTGGCAATTGAGAAAAACATTTGGTTTTTAACTACATTGGCTGTTAAGCAGATCTAAAAAATAGTTATTGTTATTATTGGCGGTTGTTTTAAGCCACAGCCACAGCCAGAGCCACACAACCACGCACCACATGCAATGCGCCAACAAAAAAAAAAACAAAAAAAAAACAAAAAAAAATACAACAAAAACAAAAAAAGAGAAAATGGCAAGAAAAAACTTTGGCTAAGACGATTCACATTTGAATTTGAATTCGGAATATGGCATTCAGGAAAGGATAAGTACGAACTTATGATTA